CATCAAAACCAAGCATTGAATTGGGCCTCTCTCTCCAGAATTAGATTTGGCAGGTTGTGTAATGTGAAAATATGATGAGAGGAAATAACTCATTTTAATAGTTTAATTGCCATCTGGTTGATGCTATGACTAGCAGATTGTTTGAAATATAGTTAGAGTATATCATCTTCGAGAGATTAGAGGAAGTTGATAAGATCATCAATAACCCTTATGACTTGTCTGCTGGATCTTTAGCTTTTACCAATGAGGCTGCAGCAGCCAACGCTGAATGCCACCAAGGTCTTCTGTTAAAGACTTCAGTGCAGGTTAAGTCCTGTTACTTGTTCCCAAAAGACTAAATTATGACCAATACTGTTGTCAACTAAACTCTCCAGCTTTTTAGTCATGTAGTGGTAACACCAAGTTGTATAAAAGCTTGAGGTATATGTAGATTTTCTGTATTCATTTATTCATTCAAGATCTTGTCAATTAAGTGTACCTACAATAGGTTCCTTAATGTGGACTGACTTCATGTCAGATCTTGATGTACCAGTCTAAACTCACTAATAGGTTTGTCAGAGGCCTCACTCCTTTCCATAGGTGTCCCATGCATCTCTTGGCAATATCAACTTTCAGAGGGACTTCAAATACTGAGCAGATTTTTCTTGTGACTCCAGCAGAGTTTGGAAGTGTAGCTATTGTAAGTTATTACTTTATTCATCTAGATGGCTTGAGCATGATCACCTAGAAATTCTTAATCATATAGTTGAATAAATAATATGTTTTATGTTTGGAGTGTTATGAAACTTCCTGGATTCCCATATTTTTAAAATGGACAAACTGTCATTTCCAACACAGTGGAAGGAGGCAGATGAAGATTTGGGTACAAACAGATTTACATGAGTTTGTATCATTGTGCTCTTAATTACATAGTATGATTGTAGACTATTTTTTGGGCTAGCCTCTCCATCCTGCCTTTTGCTCTGGTTGGAACAGGGTGAATAAACAGAGTAGTTGTAAATCAAGACTACCTACTATTGTTCTTGGTGTAAAACAGTAAATCAGCTTTTAGCCTTTCATCATGAGTTGTAAGAAGTCAAACAGTAGCAATGTTCAAGTGTCAAGGTTCCTACAAGCAACCCATATATAGTGCTAGGGTTCAAGAATTCCTGCCCAGGGATTAAGGAATTCACATTAGCATAAGGTACACAGCTTCAAGATAAGGCTGTCACTGAATTTTTCTAGTAAGAAATTTGACAGCTGAGCTGAGGCAGTCTTAAGCACATGCCGGCTTTCTCCACTCTGGTGCAGTTGAAGCTAAACAGCCCTGATTTTCTAGAATCTGTTTCTGTGAAGCTTCTGAATTGCTTATTATATCTAATGGTTCTCCACCAGATACTGCTTGCATTCTCGGGGACTTCAGGATCACATATCTAGTTTCAAGTTGTAGTTTCTGTGTCAGTGTCAGAAGTGGTGATGCTTGCATCTGCTTATTCAGAACCGTGGTTTCATGATTCCTGGATTTTCATCCGTCATACAGAAGCTTGGTTTCATGATTACTGGGTTTTTCCTCACCTGCCTGTATACATTGGGGGAGGGGAGAACAAAGGAAAACTCTGGTGTTAGTATCCCTTGAACTGGAATATACTGTTTCACATGTTTATAATATTGAACAGACCTAGAAGTTATAATCATATTTATCTGGGAGTAGACTATTGAATTCTAGTTTCTCTTCTTTTGTTTTTTCTTTGTGTAGACTCATCTACATTGCATGTTATTTCCGTCCTTCCTCTTCCCTACTCAATGCAGCTACTCCTTCTATCCATTTTTTCTTTTTCTTGTTGTTGGAGTAGTAATAATATGGATATATGTATTTGTGTGTGAGAAAAAATGGTTTGCGGTATATAGACAGATTGGGACATAAATGTCACATCTTACTTTAGTAAGACATTTTACTTTAATCATTATTACTTCATTTAATATTAAATTAAATATTTTGTCCCAAGTCTTTCCTGTCTAGAATTTGGCATCTAATCAGTGTCTACACACAGAGTGGCCATGGAGTGGGGGGCAAGGTGCATCACACTAATATCAGCAGTGTTACTGAACTGTGCTGCAAACCCCACTTCTTTTCCATGATGTCAGGATATCACATTGGTGCTGAAACATGATTGAATTTGCTGTGTAACATTGCAATTTTTATTTCATCATTATGACAAAAGTAATACATTTCTACACTGCTGTTGACCACACACAGAAACTCATATGCAAGTATATTATTTTTTTAGGAAGTGGAATGTTTAGGATTGGTTTTACCTGAAGTTGGCAGCTCTCCCTTGACAATGTTGGGAGCTTGACATTACAAAGAATAATCCATTGTTTTGTTTTGTTTTAATTTCAAGCTTCCTCTTTTTTGGAAGATTGTCTTAAAATAAGGATTATTTTCCAGTCAGGTAAATACAATATGTAACTGTTTTAATTGTTTCTGTCAAACACGTTTTAAATATCATTGAAATACTATATAGAAATAGTATATGAAATAATCCTATGTACTTTAACAAATTATCATTTCAAATATTTTATATTATTCTTCTCTGTTGTCAATTTGGAAATGCCAGAATATATTTCTCTATTGCATATCCTTCCATCAAACCAATAGAATCCACCATTCTTTGGTTTTGGTTATGTCTATCATTCACAAGTTCAACAACTGTGCACTGATAGTATATTACATGAAATGTCGAGGAGGGGGCTCTGTATTCTCCCCCAAATGCCTTAATTAGTTGTTTTTTTTAAAATTTGCATCTTGTGGAGTTGGGTTACCCGATTCCTCAGATTTATTGATTAATCATAATTGTTATTTTCATTGCTTTTGATTGAAAACTGACAAATATTAATTTGTTTTGCCAGTGAAGGGATATGAATTTGCATCCAATTTAGGTAATTTACAACTTGTAATTCCATTTATATATCATTTAAGAAAAAAAGATTATTCTGTATTTTAGTCATGTGGGTTGATGCCCAAGCATAGAAGAAGAATAAAAAAGAACTGTAATCTGAAGACTACCAAAATACTAACTTCCTTTATGAACTCTTTTTTGAAATTTGTTAATTGCAAGTTGGTAGATTGAATGCAAATTGAATGTAGATATTATGAGGTACATTAAATTTAACTTTGATGATGAGAACTGCAGTCCTTAATAAAACCTGCAGTCTTGTGCAGAATTAATCCCTTCAGTATCAGTGATCTTATATGTATTTAGCTTTTCGTAGGACCAGATTATTACTGGAAAGTAAATTTTACTTAATTTACTAAACTTGTGTGAATAAATACACCCATGTTTAGATAAATGTTACCTTTCACTTTGATTTCCTAAGATCTTTCCATAAAGAGTCATTCTTTCTTTCATTTTAGTGAATTGACATTAATAAGTATAAGAAAGACGGACAGACAGACAGCCCTAGTCAATTATTAATCTGAAGTCTTCTATTAGCATTTGGCCATTCAATAATGCTTCGATGAGACATCAATAGGTTCAATAATCGCAAGGTTGCAAGATTTGAATATGATATACAGAAGTAACCAAGAGTCTTTCTTTCATTCTCAGTAGCATTTCTTGTATTTCTAATTTTTACATATGTAACTGGTATACAGATTTTGGTTGTGGGATTGTGTGCACCGATTTGCAGTGTGTGTCTGCCATGTAAAATGCTTGAACTGATTCAAACTACTCTGAACAAAGAAAAGCATGTTTATCTACTAATGGATGGATCTTTTTTATGAAAAATAATTTCTCTTATATATATTTAGGGTGACATTTGAAATACCCTTCTATACTTTCCTTTCTGGATTGCCAAACATGTAAATTTAGAAATGCTAAATGCTATTTTTTAAAATTATAATATTCCTATGGCATCCTTTCAGTCATGTTCAATTCCTCTTTTAAGAACAATGTGTGTGTCTTTGTGTGTGTGCATGTGTGTGTATGTGCATCTCTCTTTCTCCAAAACATGAATGGTTGAATTTTAGCACATGGTATTTTATTTTCTGGTTGTGCACTATAGCTGAAAAATCAGAGAGATGAAGAAATACTTATTTGAAATGTTAAAGATATTCTACAATTTAGATTATTTTCAATTTTTAGAAAAAAATGTAACCAGTTTTTCATAATTGGCTGAAAGATTAATAATAGGAACAATGGTTTAGGGTATATTGTGAATAGAACAAACCTCAGTGCAGCTTTAAAAAAAGCAAATAGCAAACTGTGACAGAGACCCCAGTTCATGCTTTGCAATGCCTGATCTCCTTTGATACATGAACAATTTACAACAAGCAAATCTCTCTAATGCATAAGAGACAAAGGTTCTATTCAGATTTTAGCATGTTAGCTTTCCTTTGATGACCTGCTATTTTCTGCATTTGTTTTGACTGCTCCCATCATTCAGGGTTGATGCTTGGATGGGTGTGTAGGTGGAAACCGCAGCAGCAGCAAGCTTAAAGCTTGCAGACAAAAACGTTCTTGCCTTTTCTGATAGCTATTATTGAAAATGTGAGGTAGAGCCTAGGCTGGGTAATAAAGGCAGGCAAGCAAGGGGGAGCAAGGAGCATAGAGCTGCATACTGATGAGTGTGGGAGCACGTCATGAAAGATTCCTTGCTGCTAGCAGATCCTTGCTCATTGTGGAGTATTTCAACAATCACATATAACGGAAAACAGCTTAGCTGACAGCTTGATATGTTTCCCCCCCACTGTATGACGTACCGGTCTGTAGTACAGATTAATGCAGATGAAATGTTCAGTTAGGAGCAGTTCTTACTCTATAGCGTGCCCCGGAAACTATGTGCTACTTCTGACTTTTGAATTTACTGGAAGCATTAATTGGACAAGCTGGCAGGCTCCTTTGATACCAATTTTGCCCGGAACACAATGTGGCAATGCCACCTCTCAGCCCAGGACCATCGCTATTATCCTGTGGATGGATATTCATTGCTTAAACGCCTCCCTTCTCAAACTCTTTCAGCACCCAGATGCCCTGTCCAGACTGTGGGACAATGGTTGGAAAATATTGGGCTACCTCAGTATGAAAACCACTTGCTGGCCAATGGATTTGACAATGTACAGTTTATGGTAAGTGTTCTTTTCTCTGTTTATAGCTTATGGTGGTAAGTGAGTCTTTGCTTCTCAAGAGTCTGAACAGAATGGAGTATGTTTTATGATCTGCAGTGTTTAAAATATACATTTTACAAAATTCTATCTGTTATCTGTATGAGCAAGGAACATTCTCTTTGCTTCATACAATAGGTAATTTCCAAGCATTTTTACATGAAAATGAAGGAATAGTTCTTCTTGTCTATTCTCTGGCAAAAATAATAATCCTTACAGTGATGACAGCAAATATCACTGTAGGAAACAGATCAAATATTATTACAAAGGTTTGCTATTTATTAAGATTAAATGTTTTTTTTCATAATTCCAGCTTGAATTCTGCATGTTCTAACAAAGAAGTGCTGAATTTTCAGCTTTCAAATTAGCAATTTTCCCAATGTTTGGAAATAAATGGCTGTTCCTTTAAATATTAACCTAAAACTATTTTACTGTTAAAGAGTTAACAGACATGAACATGACCAGTATCTTTCACATGTAATATATATATATTTCAAACCCATGAGAGCTTCCTATAAACATAAATATGAGCAAAAGATAACGTTGGTTATCTAAAGATACAGTTCCAAAAAAATTAATCTAAAACCATAAATAAAAATAAAAATACTTAATTTTTTAAACAAATAGATAGTTTTTACAGTTTTGTGTCTGTGTGTGTATGAATCCAATACAGATGTAATAGTACCACATCTGTTGCTTAGAATCAGAATAGATTTCACTGTCTTCCAATTTTTCTGCAGTATTATTATTATGCATACATAGAAAGCTTAGGTATATTGTATGACATCGAATTGTGCAGTTATATTTGTAGAAGGTTTCAAAATATTATCTTTTAAAAATGGTTAAATGGGACTTTTCTAATTACATTACTGTTTCTGCTTTGTTGACTATTTTTTTTTAACATTTAAAGCAGATTAACCCTATTCAAATCTAATGGTAGCACTATCTGGATTAGGGTATTGTACCTTTTATTCAAGCTTCCATAGCCATGAAAATTGAAATCAGTTATTACATATGAAAATAAGCATCACAGTGGAGCAATCAAAGTTCCAGTGGGATGTAGTTCTTAAGTAGACAAGTATCCATGTGGTAAAATTACTAATATGTACTTGAGGAGACATAAAATACAGTTTATTAGAGAATATAAACACTATTGTTAATCTAGAATAGTGATTGATTAGACTCCATGGAAAGTCATGAATGGGCTTAGGGTGAGAGTCTTTGTCTTTCAGTATCTATAGAGATTGCCCATTTATGTAAAATATTTTATAAAGAAGCATTAGATGTCGAAAGTTATTCAGGATGTATATGTGCTTAAGTTGTTTCCAAACCTTTGTATTATAACCAGGTTCATGATGAATAGCACATTTATGATTTATTAGAAGAGATACAGGTGGAATATTATATTATTAATAAATTGAAAATCACAACTGTCTAAATTGAAGTTAAATGTATATTTTAGCAGTTATACTTTTTTTCGGAAGACAAAGCAATATCCTTCACTTCCTATCAACTGATGTTAAATTATTTATACCTTTTTTAGTTATAAACAGTTAATTCCTTTATGTTGACATATTGAAAAATGTAAGATCAAATCTTAAGGAATTTTACACATGTATGGACACATACACCAAAGAAGAGCTACATGTAACAAAGATCACTTTGACCACAGTAAATATAGTTTTTTTGGCATTAACTTCCATTCACAAAATTTTGTGCGTTATAGTTTTATACATGAAAATCAGGTCTATGTTAAATGTGATTTAGTGCCAAGTAAGCTTGTATAAGGTTCTGTGTCCACCAACCCCATTGAATAGGAGACTTAATTCTGAATAGACGTCACTGAAACTGAACTATTCATTGATTTATTCAGACTGTTCTCATCAATGGGATATTAAACCAGTTACCGTATTTATTGATATGACCATTCTAATGTTATACCAAGACAAGCAATATCATTTTAATATTTATGTTATTTTTAAATATGGATTTCAGCTGTTGTTTTCTTAGAAATACATTCTGTGCTTATTTGTTTTCCTGTTACCTAAGCAACACAACCTCATGTCTGTTTAAAATTAGTATTACTGTATTGTTTTGCTAGAACTACCCTTGCTTCAGGAGGAAGCTCCGCTAGAAGAGGAGACCTCTGACAGAATATCCAGTCTTGCCCTCCCTGCCACCGCTCTTCTATCACACTTTGCAATCACTGGGGATTGTCTGCTTCTTTGGGTTGGGTGGATAAAATTCTATTAGATAGGTAGTGTCCAGGCCCTGAGTAATATATATGGTTTTAGAGGTAGTAACCAGAATTTCATGATTTACATGCAAAACATATAGTTAGCCAGTGTAGTTTCTGCAGCAAGGTTATCATATGGCAGAAGGAAGACTCCCGGGTCTTTTAAAATAAAATTTTAGTATACAGTTGGAGAAAGGACACAGATGGTAGCAACAATTTTAACAACATAATATTTAATGTCCTATTTATCTGAATACCAAGACATATTCTGGCAATTAGAATACCTCATAATTTCATAATAAAGAATAAGTGAATTAGCATGATTTTTTTCATTGTTAAAATCTAATATACTGTAGTTTTTATAGATACTCAAACAAAGTAGTATAAGATACCTGCCTAGAACAATATTTGAACTCAGAAAGTGTAAGAGTGGTATCTTTACATATATGGATAACAAATTGCATCAAGACCTAGACAGTACTTAATAGAACAATATTCTCTATTTAGTCTACCCTAAACAAGTCCATTTAATTTTGGGCCCCCACTTGTAGGTAGACATACTATGAATTTTACCTTGGCTTGGAAGCATTTGCATTGTATTCAGGAAAGCATTGTGGCTAATACTCTGCTATGATTGAGATCACTTTCTGATCCTAATGAGTGTGACCCATGACCGCCACAGGACATGTATACCAATTAGAATGATCTACCCCAGATGTCTCATGATTCCTGATGGATTCCTGATGTTCTTTGGAATGGTTCCTTTGATTGCTGCTGTCAGATCCCCTATGTGGCTCTCTCTGTATGCCAATCCTGGATGGGTTATTGATTTATTGAAGAGCCTCAGGAGATGAAGTGGCAGAAACAATGTCTAGAAAGCAATGAAGACTACAAGTGCACACACATTTCAGGTTATCACTATGGTATAAAGAAGCACAATCTCTTCTGTATTATTGTGTAGCCAAGCTGCCAATATCATCAGCTTTCTTTAGAAGTTATTTTTTTTTGGGGGGAGGCATCAACAGAACTCTTAGCTGGTTATCAAACTCTTGATTCATGAGTGGTATTCAGGTTTGAGTGGTATTCATAACTAGGATAATATTTTACCATGTTACCTAGAATTTGTTTTGGCCTGTGGATTGTCTGGTATTTCTTCAGCTACTTATAACTTGGATCCGTGCTGTCTGTGCTTCTTCAGGGTGTCGGAGTGCATGATAATTTGGCTCCAGATTTATTTTTAATGCCTCAGTTTGGGATAGAGTGATACCTACAGATTTGAAAGGAATTGTATGATCCCTTCTCAACAGGCCATCCCTAGACCCTAACAGTCTTACATACAGTATTTTCTCTAACTCTTCCTTCTGGGGAGAAGATTCATAAGACCGTGGTTTCAGGGCAATTATGGAATAAGATAGAGTAAGTAGTTTATCTGGACCTTTAGTTAGCATCCAATCAAGGCATGTGTTATTTGTTCTTGTAGGTATTACAGGATTGAATGGAAGCTTGTAGTAGTACCACTTATTTTATTTAATAATTTTTCCTGATAGAAATTAAGTTGGACCTTACTGTTCTGAAGTTGTGGACATTTCTAGAAATTAGGTGGGACCTTACTGTCCTGAACTTGTGGAAATTTCTGAAAACTGTTTGGAGAATCTATGGTGAACATAAGATCAGACAAATATTGAATATAGGATATTTATGGCTTTGTATATATCACTCTGGGGATGTTCAAGCATTTAATGCAATGGCTCCATTATTGCTATAGTAGTCTAAGAATAGATTAGACTTTTAATATGCCACATGTCTTTTTATTGTCTTTTTAAAAAGGAGCTAGATTCAGGAACAATGAGCCAAAGTTATCATTGGCTCATTATTCTGAAAGTTATTTCAGAAAGGGAAGATATGTTCTTAGTTTGCTCAGAATAGACCATCAAGAGGATAAAAAATTGGCACACAAACATATTGTTTAATCCAATTTTTCTTCCCTTCCTTGTGTTAAGAATTGCATTCTCCCCAAAAGGATTAGCTTTTCATTTGTATTGCAAAAGATCATTATGAGAATGGACTAAATTCAAAAACAATACTGTACACTGTGTATAAATCTAATCCTAATGCAAAGAATAGGAGCAGGAAGCCCATGGCTTGAGAGGTCCAAAAGTTTCCATATCCATATCCCTGTATTGGACAAACAGAAAACGTACTGTGATACCATTAAGAAGCATGAAGATACATGATCATTTCTGGTGCCAAGGGCATTTTTTTTAGGGAGATGAAAGTCATTCTGCCCCAAAATTACAAACTAGGAAATGTGTCATAGAGACTTTCCCTGCTTTCTTTTCCATTTTCATTCTTTTTCATAGACAAAGCTACAGTCAAGGTTGATAGTTGAACACATTGTCCCAATGCACACATTTTTGTTTGCAAAAAGATCGTTTCTTTTCAATTGAACTCAAGTATCTCAAGTATTGGTGGCTATACCTATGTGATTTTCTTGGTAACAGTACACTATGCAACTGCTAATGCTTTTCTCCAGGGTTTTCTTTTTAATTTTTTAACTTCCCAGTCTAATTTACAGTTCTGGGATTTCCTGCTGATGTGATGTCAAGAACTAAACAAGTCTGAACTTGGTTAACATTTTCCAGATCACCTAGTGTTAGTTTTTTCATAATATATTTATATTTTATCTCTATTGTTCTATTATAGCAGTATTTTATGTGAACATTTTTGA